GGGCTGATCCTGCAGCGGGCAGAGCTGAAGATCAGATGATGGTGGTAGGTCTTGTTGAAGTCACTGAGCAGTAATGCCTCAGAAGGACGCCAGAAGATTTTGAATAGAAAGGGCATGATCCCTACTTCAGCCTGAAATAAGGAGGGTTAAAACGTAAATGGGGAGGGAAGACACCAAAATCAACTGATTACTACAGAAACATCTGCCTGGGGGTGTGGTATCATTGTTAGAGCACAAGAGAAGGACACTGAAGGGTCTGATCACTTCAGGAGTGACAGTGCAATGTGTAGGCACTGAGCACTGGGCAGGATGAGAGCCAGTCCTATCTGTCATCTTCATCCACTGGAACAGACACCAAAACAGGCATTCCCTGTGTGAGATTTATGGTGAAAGACACCATCCAGACCATGGGATTATTGGCTGAATATCTGAATATTAGAGGCTTTTTCTAAGCCCTGACTGTTTTCCTGTAATTCCGCTGTAAGCAGGTATCTGCACTAAGGATCCTGGGCTGGGGAAGGGGGCAGGCTGTGTGGCAGAGGAGGGAAGTTAAAACACCAAACCAAAGAATATTGAATTAGAAACTGGGGAAGTTTGTGAAAGGGATTGCAGAGGGCAACAACAAAGCCAGCAAGCAGGGATTTCTACTGAAGAAACAGCCCACGCAATAGGATCAGGAAACATTCTCAGTGTTCACCAGCTGCCCCTGAGCAGCTGAGGTTGTGCCACTGCCTCCTCCCCCAAAAGTTTCTGCTCATCCCACTGGCTTCTGGGGAGGGAAGTCAGGATTGTGTAAATAAGAGTTAAAGACTGCAATCCCCACCACCACCTCCCTGAAGGGACTCACAGTGGGGTCCCCACACAGGACAGGGCAGGGCAGGGCAGGACACCCCAGCTCTCACCTTGTATTTGATGCTGAGGGTGACGGGCACGGCAGAGAACTGAGCTGCCTTTCTCACCGCCGTGTCTGCCACGCTGAACGCAAAGTGGTCCATGGCCACCACCACCAGCATCAGCATCAGGGCCACCGTGACCAGCATGGCTTGCACGAGGCACAGCACCACTTCTTCCCTGGACAGCCTCAAGCCTGTAGGTCGGATGAGTTTTTTGGATGAGCCCACCAGAAGATGAGCTGCTCTTTTATCCGCAGCTAAACGTTCCAGCTTCTTGGTGATGTAAAAATTATCAAAGCTGAGGTTGGTGAGATAATTTTTCAAATACCAGGTGGACTCAAAACAGAGACAGAGCATGAAGAAACCAGCAGCCAATCTGTTGGCTACTCGTACAGAGTCTTTGACCAGTACCTCAGCAGACAAGAACTCTCTGCTAATTTTCTCACCAGCAAGGTGCATTTTTTGGTAAATCAAGGAGCTGTTCTGAAGCAATGAAAAGCGAAAATGTCCATTCATAGGCTTATACATGGAAGGAATGGCTTCTTGGACTGCATCCCCAAACTCCCAGGAAACTTTCTCTAGCAAGGCAGTTGAGTTCAGAAGGCTGTCAGAGGAATTCTTGCAGATGCACTGAATCACCTGCAGTATGGTTTTAATGTTGCTTATGATGTTGGGTGTTATGTTCACCACTGCGATCATGATGCAGGTCGAGAAGAGAAGCTTCCGGCCCTGCTTGGTGCCCAACGTGGGCATGATCATGCTGAAGACACAACGGGCAGGGTGCACCAAAAGGAGAGTCAGGAGAAGGAGCAGGCTGAAGGAGATGGCCGTGGCAATGGAGAGGTGCCAGGAGTACTCCAGGGAAGCAAACATCCAGTTGTAAAAGAGGCCGCCTATCACTGCTGTAATGCAGGAACACTGCAGAAACAAGGTCCATAGCTCCCTGCCATCTGCTGGGACAGGTTTGGAGTAAATCCACCACAGGTCTGCCATAGTTCTGTACACCTTTGGGAACAGAAAGTCTTCACAGTAAACACGAGCTCTCACCCTGCAAAAACAAGTGCCTGTGTGTTAGCAGAGGAAGTTCCTAAATGCTGATTATGGGGCTTTCTTGAGATGATCCCTTAGGGGGGTTTATATTGTCCTCCTCTGGGTGCCTCTGGTCTCACCCTTCTCTACTTCCCTGCTAACTTCCCTGAGTAGCTGGGGCTGAGATCTCCCCTGGAAGAACCAGGACATGGAAGTTAATGGCATTTATTGGAAAATAAATACAAAGTGTGATGCAACTATTCCTCTAATAATGCAAGCCCGGGAAAACATTGTGTTATCCTATAAAAACCATAATATATTCTGAGGGGTCACCTCATTGGCAGTGTTTGATGCTTTAGTGCTTACTTAGAGGATGTTGGAGGGAGAAAGAGGAGGCTGCTGGCTCCTGTGGAAATTGTTAGACCAGCTTTGTATTTCAAAGGTTTTACATGGACAAGAGGCAGTTGAGTGGTGCTCTTCCTGCCTCTTAAAAGGAGACCAAACACAAATCTATATGTTAAAGGGTGACAAACAGAGAAAACAGTTTCACACTGAAGCTGCAGTGCCAGAGGAACTCTCCAAGGACAAGAATTTGGCCACTACAGATAGGATGAAATGTCCCATAAAGCTATTCAAATGTCTAATTGAAACAAACATTTGAGAAAAGATATCATTTCTCAGGCCTAACGTCTGGAGTGACTCTTCATAAACCAGAAAACATGTAGGGGAGAAGATCCTGGCCCGAGGGTTAAACCCAGCCAGGCAATCTTGGTCTCCCACTGCTGGACACCACCCTCAGCTATCCTTTGAGGGACAATTTTAACTAGGAAAGGGGGTTTTCTGTGAAAAAGCCATACAATAGCTATCAAGACAGAGGAACAGAGAGGGATAAAGCTGTCTCTACGTACCCAGTGGCAGTGAGGTGCCCCAGACTTGCCTGAAAACTCTCCATGTTCCAGTCCTTCTTGCTCTGAGAGAGGATCCTGGATGTGGCTGTTGGCAGAGGCAGGGTAGGAAACCAAGGCAGCACCAGAGAACCAGGACTCAAAACCCAGGATATTTTAAGGCAATTCAGATCAGCAGCACTGGCAATCCCTGAAGTGTGCAAAACCTGGTGAGTGAAGCCTGGGGAATAACAGCACCACAGAACAGTGCCAGGATAGACAGCACTGCTCAGGCTTTACACTTTTTCTGGTCTTACCCTTATTGCAGAGAAGGCTTATTTTAATGACACGTAGGTGAAAAAAAAATTAGTCAATGACACATGGGCTGACGAAGATGGAACAAGGATCATATGGAACCTGGGGTGTCATCATTCCATGTGGGGAAATCAGATGACTACTCCTCGCACTGCCCACTAGCAAGCAGGACTGGCATCTCTCTCAGAGTGAAAGGGACTTTTTCCTCTTTCAGACATCAGTCATGGCACAAAAGGCACAGCAGGATCCAGCAACCCAGTTGGTAACTGCTCATCTGTTCTGACAGGCTGCTGCTCCCTGCTGAAACTCTGTGCAGGGCTCACAAACAGCTTCAAGATTCTTCTCACAGTCCAAGCAGAGGAAGAGGAAGTTTCAATCTTGAACCTTTCTGAATTCCCAGTAGCCAGCAAATCCACTGCAGAGAAAACCCAGCCACAATCAGGATTCCCAAACTGTTGAGAAGCTCCCAGATGTACAGGCCAGGACGTGCAGTCCCCAAGAGACCAACTTGCCTGGCCCCCAGGATGTGCCCAGCAGAGTTCCAGCCACCAGCCCTGCTCACCTGGAGATGAGGACCAACCACAGTGTTTGCTCCTCAGTTATGAGCTCAGGGGTTACTGGAGCCTTCCCTGGCTCCCACCAAACCTGCCCCTTGGCCAGATGCTCTCATGCTAAGCCACTGCTTGTGGGCAAAGGTGACACAGTCACCCAGCTGCCACGGGTCCTATGGGGACCCACTGTCCCAAGCCAAGCCCTCCCACCAGCCGGGAACCACCGGGCCCCGGGGTGTTCTCATGCTCCCCTGGGTGGGAAAGGGCCAAGGGCTTAAGGTCAGCCCTGTCCCAGCCACCCCTGGGGACAAAACACATGGGGCTCTGCCCTCCAGAGAAAGGTGGGAGAGCAGCACCTTCCCCGGGGACGTGGCTGGATCCCACGGCACTGGCAGGAATTGGAGGACAAGGAATGACGAGCACAGAAGGCAGAGCAAACCTCTGCCTGCTTCCTCTGCCCTTCCTGCAGGCACCAGGTCCCTTGTGCCCTTGCTGCTCCACTCAGCAGCTCCACTTTATAGCTGAGGGTTTTGTTTTTCCTGTGTGGCTGGTGGAGCAAAGCTTTCCTCCTGGTGCCCTGGAGCACAGGGGCCAGATGAGAAACTCTGCCTGGCTCCAGCTGGGAAGAGGCACCAGCCAGGCGGGCAGGAAAGAAAGTGCTGTTTGTTTGGAGCATCCATAGCAATTGCTTGCACAGGCCATGAATTAGGTCTTTAATTCAATGTGCACACTAGAAGGGACTAACCCAAAAGACCCATAGTTGGGTCCTGCAAGGCTCATCAGCTTCTTCTACGACTAAACTCCTTTCTTGCTCTACTTCAGAGTGAACTGGTGTTAGCATCAGCCCCTGGGACCCCATCCAGGCTATGCAGGCAGCTTTCTGGGGCAGAAAAAGAAATACATTTAGCAATAGGCTATAAAGAACAAAAACCTCTCAAGTCCACAACATTGGGGTGTTTTCTGAGTCTGCTACACCATCTGGCAAAGGCACCTGTGGTCTGTGGGACACTGAGCAGTAACTCTGGCAGCACCAAGAAGTGTTTGTTTTCACTTAGACTTTTTCCTCTGGCTCTACTCAAAATTGTTGTCTGCCAGCTGGACCTACAGCAAGGGCATAAATCTGTGGAACCTTAGATTTTATACCATGAATAACCCATAAGTGAGCTAGAAACCTAAATGCCTTACCTTGCTCAGAACACAATGAAGAAGCTTGTTTTGCAAAAAAAAACCAACCAAACAAACAAAAACAATAAACAAAACACAGCAGCAAAAAACCTGAATACCAGCATGTGTGTTCATAGGGATACCTGGGGGGTGAAGGCTGGGAAAAGGGCAGGACCAGGGACACGGGAAAGGCAGGACCACACATTGCAGCAAAGCAACTGTGACATCTTGTGGTCACACTCTGCTCAAGGACCCTGAGGTCTGGCTCATTTTGGTTCTGCGAAAAAATAGACAGTTCAAAGATAAGGAGGAACACTGTGTCCTCCCGGGATGCTCCAAGGTGCCTTTCCCCACCCTGTGTCATTTCCAGATGGTAGAAAAGGAATTTGCTTTCTTGACAAGCTCCAGTCTCTGTAGAGCCCAAGCTCTAAAATTATATAACATCACCAATTTTGACCTTTTAACACTACAGGAGGAACCTGAGCCCCACAGGGCTGTGAGCAGCTTGCTGGAAGTGTGAGACAGCAGAGAATTCCTTTGGCATCATTGCCAGAACCAGAGCCTGGTTTTACCTGGACTAGGGATGAGCACTGAGCTCGTACCCCCAGGACAGGAGTTTAAACTCGGTTCTGAGTGCAGACTGCAGTTTTTGGGGTAGTGCCAAGACACCTGCAAGTTCAGCCCGTGGTGAAAGTGTCACCTTGTCAAGGTGACAGGGATGAGGGGGGTGCAATGCTGTACCCCAGGTAGAGGGTGGGCTAAATGAACTATACAGCTTCAGAAAATGGCTGGAGAAAGAAGATAAATGAAGGGCTAAAATATAATTATTTAAGTCTGAAGATAATTCTTCATGGCAGTATCATCAGCACCTGTTGATCACGTAATTTTGCCCATTTGAGAACTTGAGGGTATGGGAAAGGTTAACTAATTAGGGGTGGCTCTCTGTTAAAATCACTTGCAAATGAAAGACAGTAACACAGAACCAGATCTTGTCTTCTTAGTTTACTACTGTAGAAATATAGAAAAATCCCAGCAATATCCTTTATGAGGGATAAATGTGGTAAGGGTAACAAGGCTATCTGACCTATAATAGCTGAATTCCCTATCATGCTGGACTTTCATTTGTTTCATGACTCTTTCCCTGCCTCTCCTGAAATTCCAGCATCGCTGCTGAGTGCAAACTGAGGAGCACAGCTCTGGAATCACTCCCTGCTGTAAGGACCCACAGAGCAGCTCCTCTGTGTGAACAGTTTGTAAAGCAGCTCAAATGCTTCTGGGATAAAAGACAACGATGAAATGCTTTTCTACTATAAATAAACTAAAATTATTTTCTTCCGAGTGTCTCAGGAGAACATATGGATGTTAGTCCAGGACTTGATGCGTAACATCAAAGGAGTAAAGCAGAGATATTCTGGATGTTGAATTTCAATGAGTGGTATTTCCTGTTAATTAAAATTCACAAGGAGGCTGCTAATGTGAATGGCTTTTGTGATGGTTGTTGGATTTTTACATTCCTAGAGAAATGGTGCATAGGCAAACAAGGTTCCATTGAAATAACACAGTCAAAGTTATAGAAGTTTACTACAGCACTTGAAATACCCTTTCCTGGGAATTTTCATATCTCTACACATATCACAGACCCTTCAAGACTAATGGGGTTGACTTGCCATTAAAGGCTGCTTTTGGCAAATCTTAGTACTAGCAGCAGCGAATGGAATCAGAAATTATTCATGCAGGCCTGTTCACCTTTGAACCCCAGATATAATAAATCCTAAAATCTCAGCTTAAAAAAAATTAATTAAAACTCAAGCATGCCAGACTAGTCCTACTCTCACAGAGGCCTGGGTGTAAAAGAGCAGAATTGGGTAATGCTATTGTCCACATGCCTTAAATCAGATCCCCTGGGGAGCCCTGGGAAACACAGGGGCTTGAGACAGAGCTGGCAAACACATCTTGGACTAAAGAGGTTTAGGATCCAGGTGCTTCTTACACCTTTCCCAGGTGTGCCAAGGCCTCGTTGTGGACCTTGGTAAGTCACTCCTCCCCTCTCTGCCTCAGTTTCTCACGTTGGCACAGACATCACAACCCTGCCCTAGCTGCATTTGTGAAATACTTCCTGATCCCTGGATAGACAGTGCCACAGGCATGCCAGGACACTGGAAGTGATTTTTGGAGACTACTACACAAACTCAGCTCTGCTTTCAAGCCAAAGAAAACCATCCTGGATTCGATCACCTGGGATGCACCAAGTCAGTGCTGAGACCATAAACAAACCTGCGGCCCCAACACCTGAGAGGGAGCTGGACTGGATGTTACCCTTCAGAACTGGGTGATCCCAAAGCCCTTGCTGCCTGTCCTCCAGGCTGCAGGGACAGAGCAGCTCTGTGCCCGTGGCTGACGGGGATCCTCCGCAGCAGCAGCGGCTCAGGGCAGTGGGACTGCGGGGCTCCTTCCTGCACTGCCTGTGGGCACAGCCTGTTCCCTGTTCCCTGTTCCCTGTTCCCTAATCCCGTTTGTTCCCTGTTCCCTGGCCCGGGACAGCAGTCCTGTGCTGTTCACGGACAGCTGGCTGAGAAAGCAAACTGCAGGGAGCAATTTTCCCTTCCCATTCAGCCCATCTTTGCTAAGGCATGACGAGGAGCATCCAAGCAGAAGGGCAGTGCCCAAACCCAGCAGAGCCAAGCAGACAGGGATCTGGGGTATGCTCAAAGGCTCATGAGCAGAGCAGTCCTGAGATGCTGGGCCAGCAGTTTTCCCATTGCTCCGCTGTTTAACAGGACTGCACTGCTCTCCTGCTCCTTCTGGAAATCCACTGCCCAAATCAAGGATGAAGCTGGAGCAAGGGGAGGCTTGGGCTTTGTTTTTCTCCCCTCAAACTACAGAGCAAACAGGACCATGTGACGTGCTAACCAACGTGCTTTATTTTAAGTTTTCCACAATTATTAAGGATTTATTTGAACATTAAGGATATTATTTTAAAACGTGGTTGATCCAAGTTCCACATTCAATTGGTTTTGGCAATTTCAGTTCAACCCCTTTGAGTTCCCATGTGTCAGATCACCCCAGGGTGACCCCCATAAGGTAACCCCTGCAGCATCAGCTGGTGAACATCTCCCTGCCAGCCCTCCTACCTGGCCCCGGGGGTTATCAGCAGCACAGGAGCAGGGGGATGCACTGAATCCCTACCCCGGGCCAGTTCATCTTGTCAGCACCACCAATTTACATTGTCAAAGAAACTGGTCCCAGCACAGGGATCCAGTCATTCACCTTCCATAAAACAGGAATCAGATCCTTTATCATTCAATCATCTATTTCAATGACTGATGATTTAAGTTTAATATCTTATATTCTTACAGAAAATAAAAATAATTGGATAAAATGGTGATTAAAATCACAGTCAATTTGCAATGCTTTCATTGAAAGTACCCAAGCAATCTGATTTAAAAAGACGTTAAGAATCAAAGCCTATTTTTAAAGAAATGTCAATAATATTCCAATGCAACTTGTCCACTGACCTGTGACTCAGCGGGTCATTTGTGAGTGAGTCAATCTCACAGCCTAAGACTGGCCACAGTTACCAACGGTGAAACACCACCGATGTCCAAAGTTACGTCAGAAATTCATTTGGTCCCAAACCCCCATCCGTGTACTCAGTGCAAAGAACCAGGCAGCAATCGCTGTCCCAGGCTTTCAAACCATAAAACATGTTTGGAAACAAACTGTGGCCTTCCAGTTTCCAAAGCATGGAGCAATGCACTGAGTCCTACCAACACATCTCCTGAGTCATCCCTTCACACACAAACGTGGAGAAATGGTCTTCATCCTCCATGAGAGAATTACTCATGAGATGGCAGCGAGACCCCAGCCTCACACCCTGCCAGAAGCACCCGGCCATGCCACCTTCTCCCTGGCCAGATTCTGATACACTCACTCACATTGGGTTGCACATAAATAATCCAGTTGCCTCCACCCTGTTGCCAGGGCTGCTTTCCAAAACGAGGTAGGGTATCAGAAACTTGAGCAGCAAGGCTCGTCAGCTCTCATGGGGGGTACAGGCATCTACCCAAAGATGCTCCATGCTTTACAGGTTGTCCATTTAACAACCACCTGTGACAGAAAGACTCTGGGAGAGTCACATTTGTACCTGCAAAAGGTGGGGAAAGATCTCCAGAGAAAATAACAAATGGATGTTGGGACACTGACCAGAATTTCTAAAAGTAAAATTAAACCAGAA